TTTTAATAACTGTCATACACTTGCAGAGAAACATACTTGAGTTATACTTTTATCTTGAAAATCGGACTTGGTAAGCAGTGAGACTCATCAAATGGTCTAAATATCACAAGCTGAATGAGTGAACTGATCATTCGCTAAATCAGACCCTCGAACACATCTCAAGCAGCCAAGAAGTTTGAAGCCTCATCGTCGGGCATCGATGGAACCAGCTCTGCTCATTCTTCTTCTACTACTGCAATTTCCCTCCAGTTCACTGAGGGTGTGTTGCTATTTCAGCTCTTTTCTACTACCCTTTTAAGCATTCTCGCTGCACTGTGTTAATGTTAACAGAGCTTATGCATGTCAGTGTTGCACACTGGGTTGATTTCATCTCATTACTTTGGATTGGTGTGTTTGGGGACAGCTCGATAGCTTGGCTCTAGAACAATATCTACCTTTTTTCTTTTTCCATTTGAGTTCTTCTAAAGCCAAGCTATGATTTTTGGTTTCTCTTGTGATGCTGGATGTCTGAAAATGCATGGAGAGCTTTTGCATGCATCACTGGTTGTCTAACTATAAACTCTGTTCACGGGTGATGACTGTCAAGAGCTTGCAGTAAGCTTTTCTTTGGTTGTTCATGTCTCACTGTATTTGATAGTGATTGCATATACAGGAAGTTTGGCTGCTTTTTTTTTGCATATTTACAAAAAAGAAAAAAGAAAACACGAAACAAACCTTTTGCTCTCTGCACAAATTTCCCACCCTCGGCCCAGTCACTGCCCTGAGTCACCTCACCTTAGGAAACAATTTTATTGTTTTGTTTTGGTGTGTTGAGATTTTTTCTTCTTCTCATTATTGTTTTAATTATTTAAACCCCTCTGACAATGCCACACTGTCACTTGCAAAATTACAGATAACTGCTGGTCACTTTGGTGCTGTAGGCTACCGGCAGACGTTCGGCCTTGGCTTTACAGCGCTTTCACCATTTCTTTATCTAGTACAAGCCTTTAAAGGCTGCCCTTTCCCTCTACACCCTTTCTGCTTGTACTCACACTGCACCGCTGTCACTGTCCTGCTGCCTGTTACCTTCTGTTGTATGTCATGCTACTTGAATCTTCCTTCCCACTTCCTCTCTCACAGGCTTCACTGCACTACCGCACCCTCACCGCCGCGATCACGCAGCATACACCAGAGCCTACTATGACATTATCAAACCTCACAGCGCCGGCGTTACCCCACCGAGGTTGACCTGTGCCGACCTCCCTCCCAGGAGCCTCGAGCAGCAGACGCTGAGCCCTCAGCTCCGCAGGCTGGAGCAACATCAGAGACAGCTGCAGGAGCTGGAACAACGTAGGGAACAACAGAGCAAACCACTTGAGGAGGCGGAGCAGGAGAGGAAGAGGAGGCAGGAAGAGGAGCAGAGAAGGAAGAAAGAGGAAGCTGAAGAAGAAATAAAGCGCAATAAAGAGGAGGCAAGGCGGATAAAGGAGCAAGCAGAGGCAGCCAAGAAAGAGGAGGAGGAGCTTAGACAGAGGAGAGACCTGGAGCTGCAGCTGCAGCAGCAACAAGAGGAGCTGAAGCAAAGGCAGCAAATCATGCAATGGCAGCAGGAGCTACAGCAGTCTAACAAAGGTCAGACGGTGTTGCTGTCCCCCTCCTCTGCCCTCTGCACCATCTACGAAGCCCTGGAGAACAGTGATGAAGAGGAAGTGGATGGTGAGGAAGAAATAAACGAGCTAAAACCTACTAAACACAAGGAACCTAAGCAAAAGGACGTTCACCATCCTTCCCAGGATGGAGAAAGTTCCTCCCCTTCCCAGTCTCCAGAGCGGCCTCCACCCTTGGATCTGGACTGGGGGAAGAAAGTGGACATAGTCCAACAGCTGATTAATCAGACCCTGCTACTGAATGGAGATAGTTGCTCCTCGCTGCTGTTGTTGCCAGGAGGTGCAGGAGGCACACTAAGCCCCCTGGAGAGCAGCATGTGGCCCAGTCTGCTGCCTTCACTCGCTCCTCCCTCTGCCACGGTCACCTCCGTGAGTAGTTTCTCCCCCGAGGCCACGGGCAGTTCGCCACAGGGGGAGTGGACGGTGGTAGAGCTGGAGACTCACCACTGAAGGACCAGTCACGCATTCATACAGGGAACGTGACACAAGTCCTGCCAGTTTATGCACACACCACAGGGTGACGAACAGTCTACTGTATAAACTCCCGATATTCACTCTTGGAGAAGAGCCGTATGGATTGAGGTAAACATTTTGGGCTGGGCATCATCAATATTACATAATCTGATAAGGAACATAAATGAGATCACACTTAAGTCACTTGCAATTTTCAGAGTACACGAAGGGATCACAAAGGCAAATTGTATTACTCTGCCCAGACCCATGATCATGTGGTGCTGTAGATCAGTGGTTCCCAACCAGGGTGGCGAATGACTTTGTTCCACGCACTCCTTATTTTTTTTTTTTTAGACTTTCTTTGAATCTTGTTTTTCTTCCAAACTACTGAGTATGTCTACTTACTGGGGGCTTTGAAAGCAGCTAAAATTCAGAGCTGTGGCAAAAAGTGACCAATGTTATTTTTAAGAGATTGTAAGTCCAAAAAAGTTTGGAACCACTGCCCCGAGTTAATTTCAGAGATGATGGTTTTTCTTCCTGTACTGTGAAAACAAGCACAAACAAAACTGTTACCAATGTTTGGTGGTGCTACAGTTGAATTATTGGCTGGTTCTCCAAACACGTTGCTGTTAATTAATGCAAAAAAGTTAATGAGTAAGACTCTCAGGCAGTATTTAAGATGGTAAATGAAACTAAATGGACTGAAAAGGTGAAACGTCTTTAGGTAAATATTTAAAATTCTTCTCTGCAAGTAGGAAAAATGTTCATTGCCAACACTATAAAGAGAAATGTATCCATAGCGTCAGTTACCGTATGTTTGGTTGTATTTCTATGCTCGTTTATTTTTACTATTCTGAATGAGAAAAGGGATCAGATTAGAGCCCGAGCTGAAAGGACAGCAAGGACAATTTTAAAGAAAACAAACAAATCAACCAATGTCAAATTTTTGAATTGCCAAACATTAGTCTTAAAATTCTAAATCAGTCAGGCTTGACTGATATTCAAACCCGATTTTTAGGTCTGCTTTAATGTGCATGTAAAATCAGGCAAGACTGAAGAACAGGACCTGAGCTGTGACACCGCCTGAGAGCCTCCGCTGAAAGCCTCTCACTCTGCAGGCGAAGAACCCGAGCTTCATCTCTGCCGATGAAACTCAAGCAGATGAGCACAACCTGACGCCGCACGCTGAAACTCAGCACCTCACTTACCTCTCGCACAACTCTAAACACCAACTTTACACACTAGAACATCACACACCTGAAACCATACGATCACTAACAGACTCCCATCATGCACCACATCTATTGACTGACAGGGTGGAACTGGACACTGTTGCTGAATCTCTGTACTCACGCGCACACAGTGCCAAACAGCAACTGCTGATCCCAGTAAGGCAAACTGTTCCTCACTTGAACCTGCGATTTTTGTTGTGTGGGTGTTTGTGTTTGTTTGTTTTTTTTTAAATCAAAGCCATACCTGTTAATTTGTTTGTGTTTACATGCATCATCATCACTTTAGGTAAAAGTGGGAACACACTCAGATTGCACTTAATTCAATTCCTTAGTGTTTTAAATTTTTACCCGTTCAAATCTAGTTATTCTTGAGGCCTAGACGTCCCTGTTGTCCTATTTTAATGTAAGTTATTCCAGATTGAGGTAAAAGAAATCGTTAGATTAGGAAAAGATGAAGGAAATGATGTCAGTCTGAGCTGCTCAGATCGCAGTTCCTCACCAAAGGTCAGTACAACCTGTGGTCTGTGCAACCCCTTTGAAACACTGGAATCAGGTTTTAGTAAGCTTGTGTTCTTATCATTATTATCATTGTTTAGAATGGACAGAACTGGTTAGTGTTTAAATGCTTTTGCAGGATCTGTAGCCCAACGTTATATTTAAAGTCTTCCTTAGGTTCTCATACTTGCGTTGCTTCAGTGACAGCCTGCATGCTTTAAGGCCAGCTGTCAGATGCAGATTCAACGCAACCACTGAGCTCTGGGTTTAACCGACACTGCTGTGAGGTGCGAGGAGATGTTTAAAAGTGCCATATGTTGATGTCCGTTTGTGTTTAATTCTGCTTCTAGTTGTGAATCTAAATGGAGGGCTCATAAATCTGGCACTCGTCCCCCCTCGCCCCTCCCCTCCATCCACATCCTGTTGAGTCAGTTCTTGGCTCGCTGCCTTGGCCTTTCCGCTGTGGATCAGTGGCATAAAGACCGAATTGTGTTTGATAATGGAATTCAAAGCAGGGACCCGAATATTAAACCGCAGACTGAGACTCGATGTTCGGTACTTTTGCCCTTTCCCACGATTGGCTCCAGCAGAGAGTCCGCCACATGTTCGAGCGTATTCTAAAGTTTGCATTCCTGCAGCTCCAGGCGGGGAACACGTGGCGCTCAGTATTTTTATGTCCTTGGTGTGTTTTCAAGTATTTGCGGGTATATCATTAAAGACTGATCACTGTAATGAAGGGATACTCCACTTTACTTTTGTACTTCAGAGTTTTAGAGTTATAGTAGCAGTTTTAAGAGTAATATTTAGATTTTTATTGAATAGAGAATGAAAGATGTTGAGTGTAAATGGTAGATTTTATTCTAAGTAAATTGCCTTTCTTCATGTTCAACCAACAGAACTAATGAGCTGAATGGTTACAAGGTCAAACTGAACACATTTCGTTATTTACTTGGGCTCAGAGTCCGTCGGTCTCTCATTTGCTTTGTAATTTATTGAAAATGAAGCCTGTGTGTGCTCCTTTAATGTCTTCATGAACCGGGTGAAATGAACCGAATCGGGCCGTCTCGCTCAAGGCCCAGACCGTGGCAGCTTGTTCTGAAGTGTAACGTCTTTGTTAATTTCTGTAGGCAAATCTGTGATTGTGTGTAATTATTACAATGCAATGTTTCATGTAAATAAAATGGTTTTTTTTGTTTTTTTTAATAACACTTTGCCTTTTCTCAACATGAGCGATTACAAATTGTACAACTGTGGGAATGTTGAAAACATCAGACATGAACTCTGCAGAAATCTTTTACAACCTAAAAACCATACATGCAAACTTCACAGTATTGTTGAACAACTTCACCTCCTCAGGTTTTCAGGCGCCTCTGTGTTTTTACAGCTAACGAAAGTAGAACAGTTTCTCTTCTGATGTCCAGATGCAAACTAAAAGACACTGAACCTTCTAACAGCTGGACATTCTAGGGTTCGTGCGCAACAGGCTTTGTCTACTTTAAAATATGATGACATGTGCACTAATAGAGACACGACCTATTTACAGCCCCTTCAGACATGCACCGCTTTCCCAGAGTTCCCACAGATGTGTTTAAGACTCTGTCCTTTTATTTTTAAGGTTAAGGATTGGTTTCCAGATGTCATCTGAACAGCTCAGCTTCAGGTCTAAAGGTGCCTCCTGGTCAATTGCCATCAACAGCTGTGATGCTAATATGACTGCAGTAAATGTAGTAGGATTTGTTTATGCCGAGTCACAGTAGTACAAGACTCTAGATGTCGATATGGGTTAATCAGATGAGCAGAGAACAGCCTCTTTATTGTTTGCAGTAACGTTAAAGCATGTCCACTCTCAGCCCGTCTGGGTGGGGCAGGACACAATTCTCAATCACTGCTGCAGGAGTGTCTGAATGAAGCGGTGAACGTAAAAGTAGCATGCCTGAATGCAGTCGCTGTGACCAACCAGTGAAGTGGTCACGTATCGCAAACAACACGGAAACACACAAATACTTAATTCTTGCTCTGACGTCCAAACTGAAACTAGATGTTCAAACGTCTCGCATCAGCTGGATGCAGATGAATCTGCAACACGCTGCATTCAACGCACTTTAAACCTTGAACAGTTTCTTAGGTCTTGTATAAGGCACCAAAACGATGCTCGTTGCTAATCTGTCTCCAGAGTCAAAAGCAGCTTCATCAGGGAGTCTGTAGCCTTGCAGCTAGATGGCTCGTCCTCACCCAGAAACAAGAGTCTGTGGTAGTTGGCCAGAGGGACCTCACACAAGATCCTGAGACATGAACACAGATGAGTCAGAAAATCCTAATCGGGAACACAGCTCAGAGTTTTCATAAATAGCAGCCTACCAGTCATTTATATCATCTGAGTTGGGATCCGGGTCCACCTGCACCCAGCGACCAATGGACCAGATCCCCTTCAGATCATCATGACCGCAGCTATCATCAGCCTCTCTGTGTGGCCTGAAATCCTCACAGCACAGGAAGTAGCTTGAAACCCAGGAATGACACATGAAAGGTGAGAAGTTTTAATGACTTAAAGTGAGCAAGAAATAGGAAACGGAACATGGAGATTCTTCAACATCCAGACTCACTAATCAGTTTCTGCCTCTTTCTCTTCATCGTTGTGGAGTTTCTCCACGTTCCAGCGCATGCGTTTGTACAGCCCCGTGTTGACCTGGGAGAGGTACGGCGTGGGTACACAGTAACGGAAAACGGTCAGCCTCAGGTGGCCGAGCTGACTCTGGCCGATGCAGAACTGAGACACGCTGGGAACAAAAACACAAAAGACGTTGATGTTCAGAGTGAAAGGTTTATAGCAACAGTCACAGTGTTGGGGTTGTGCAGAGAAGACGAAAATGATGGGAGTATTAAAAAAAGAATCACAAAATGCTGATTCTCAACAGTAGGTTCTGCACGCAGGTGCAAAGAAAATGTGAAGTAATCTGTAGGACAGGGAAGAAATGTGACCACATGAGGTTTAAAATGATTACAGGTTTATGTGTGACAGCTAAACAGTACTAGATATAAAATGTGGACATGAGCAGAAACAACAGGAGGATGAGGATTTGGAGAATCATAAGTTAGTCACATTGATAACTTGTAATGACGTAACAGTTTCAAAAGTTGAAATAAATACATCAGTGGCATCAATGTCATGGTAAATTTTGGCTTTTTTTATTATAGAATCGAACTGTTCTTTTTCCAGGGTGGAATAATTGCACAGTATACATCTTCAGTGACAATTGGGTGCACAAGTTTGAATTTATTTTGGATTGACTCTAATCCATACAGAGTCAAAGTATACATACATTCCCGCTAATATGCTCATGGAATAATTCTGGCTGGATATTGGCTCCAGCAGTTTCATGGCAGGCTTGAGCTTTGCTGGCTCCTGGATGGTTCCTGAGCATCCTAACCGATCCCATCTGTGGGTGACCATTTGGGTCTGCAGTTAGAAATGGCTCCAAAAGAAGACCTTCCTGACTTCTATAAATCTACAATTCTCCTCCTTAGAGCTTCAGAGTTCCTCGGACTTTCTCATTGTTCTAAATCCAATGTGTGCTGTCCAACAAATCCTTTTTATGCAGCAAAGAGAAACTACCAGTTTTAGTCAATCATGATCACTAACACAAGGTTAATGTGTGTTAGTCAGGCTTGGCCTTGTCAAGTTAGAGTTCATTATAGAATCTCCATCTCCACTTATTACAGGGCTTGAGTGAGTTAATTTATATTTTTTGACTTTAGAGAAAATCCTAAATAAATTCAAACTTGTGCACCCAATTCTTGAAAAAGAACAGTTCAAAAATGTAAAAGCATGACATTCATTCCCATAATGAGTGGATGTAAACTTCCACCCACAACTGTAGCTTGATAAGCCTAAATCCTGCTTCATAGTACAAACACACCGTAAACAAAAGCAAGTATTCGTTTGCATAAGCGTGCACCTTTGGGGCTCCTTCTCATCCAAACTGAGAAGATTGTAGCTGGAACACCTCAGCAGCATCTGCTCCAACTTGTCACACAGCTGCTGAGAGAAGTCCAACAGCTGCACACACACACACACAGTTTAGAGTAAATATAAACCACAAAATCTTCAAGTTGTAGACACACACGGCACCGATACACCTCCCGCTCGGGCAGTTTGTTCCAACAGCTGATGCACAAACTGTTCTGAAGCGACTGACCACAACAACATAGGATTCATTTCTTATATGAAGTGCAATAAGCTTTCTGTCAAATACATAATTTAACTACTCAACAGATGAACCTGTTGCTTCCAATCCAAGTCAACTACAGTGGTGCGAAAAGTGTTTGTTGCCTACATGATTTCCTTTATTTGAGATTTTCAAATCAATTTAATTAACAAGTAAACAAATGTTTTTTTCTAAATGCAGGTGTTTATCATCAAGAGTTGGGGGGGGGGGGTAAAAAAAAACAAACCCTACAACTTCAGCAATGTTTATGGTGTTTGAAATTCCTTTTAGCTTGCAATCTGAGCATGGTAACTTTCCAAACTTTTCATATGCATGAGGAAAAAAATGCTATAAAACTGTGAAAATTTACCCTTGTGCAACTCTCAGCTGGCAGAGGGTTGCTTTGGGACACGATGCTTCTGGTTAGGTGTTCCAGGTGGTTAAAGAAAGGCTGACAGGTGTACAGGAAATTCTGCACAGCAGTAACTACAGTGTCCCTGCTTACACACTTCTGCCTGCCAGGACACAAAAAACCTTCATGATACAGACAAATGACCAAAATGAGTGCAACAAAGCAGGAACCTACCCCTGGATGAGGCAGTCAAGTACGCAATCTGTTTTGCTCAAGAAGAACTGGAGCTGCAGCCAGATGCTTTTCTCAACCTGGCTCAAGTCTGGGCAGCTGCAGCACCCATATTTACCACAGGATGGCGCCACAGCAACGTCAGCTAAAAACGATAGTTGCTTCTCCGCCTCTGAAACACCTAATCATGTGCATAAACACAGAGAACAGCATGATGATGATCGCTTCACAGTGTTCTTTCATTAAGGTTTAATATTTTCTGAAAAAGAAATACAAGAATTAGAAACTTTGGAGACAGAGATATTTTTAGAGTAATGCTCTATACTGTTTACTACATGATGGAGAGGCTGATGTTCTCCTGTAGGTTTAAACCACATCAATTTACAGGGTTTTGGATCAGACTGGAACGATTTCATTTTGATTAGTTTGTTGCTTCAAATGTTTATGAATTTATGAAAGAAAAAGAAAAATTGTAAAAGTAACAGTAAATTAAAAGGGTTGTTAGATGTTTATTTACATTTTATGTTGTTTTTTAAAATTGGTTTTCTTTTCTTGAATTAGTATTATGTTTTTTCCGATTCATTATTCATTCATTTTCTACTTTTTTTTTTTTAGGAGAAAAACCATGCACGCCTGTGATCAAAACCATTTTTCACTTTATATTTATTACTAAACATTTAAAAGAATTTTACAAAACCATAAAATGAATGGTGCACATGTGCTATACCCACATAAATTAAAACATAATAGAAAACAGCTGCACAGATGATGGTAAAACACCTCTTTATACAGCCTCCTGTGTTCCAGTCTCTACATCACTTTTGTGGTGCGATTACACTAAAACAAATGTGTAACCGTGATGTTCCTACAAATTCATGTATCGATCAGCTGACTCTAACTTTATGTCCAAACTACTCAAACTGAGCTAATGCACTCATTTCTAATCTCTCCTGCTCACTCTGCCTCCTGTCATTTTGCTAATGCTGGCGTCTCCAAACCATACATCATAGCAGGTCTCACTACCATAATGCAACTTTATCACTCTTTCTGCTTCTCCAAACAGTCATCTCGACCCACTCCACCCTCCAATCACTGTCTGCTTCACCTTTCTTGTGCACTATCCATTAAATTGGATGGTTGAACCCAGGTATTTCAATTCAGCTACCTTTACTTACTGTCCTTCTTGTATCTTCACTGTTACACCTCAGACTCATGTATTCTGTCTCGCTTCTATTGACTTTCATTCCTCTTCTCTCCAGAGCATACCTCCACCTCCTCCTCATTAATCCATCTGTTATTCCTACCACACACCTGTATTCATACATGTCCTGCTGGCCAGCCTTGTAATCCTCTATCAAGGCACCGACAGCAAATTCTTAGTAGTGCTCTTTGTCATCATTAAACCATACTGGCGATCAGCGATTGCCACCTCTCCTTAAACTAGCTTAAACGATTCTTTCCCACAGCTTCATAGTATGTCTCATCGGCTTTATCCCTCTGTTGTTACTACAGCTCTTACACCGTTGTTCTTGAAAATAAGTACCACTTCTTCCCCGTTTCTTCCTCTAACTCTCCAAAACGGTGTTAAACGGTGCCCTCTCTTTTAAACATCTTCATACCTCCACAGGTATGTGATCCGGACCAGCCACCTGCCCACTCTTCATCCTCCTCCTAACAGCCAATTTTCTTTTGCACTGACATGTACTACAGTGTCTTCTACCCTCTGACCTGTATATGTGCCGATTTGCAGACGGTCCTTGCCGTCTGAATCCTGTAGATCCAGATCCAGGTGTTGCCCTGATGCTGACACTTCAGTGACCGACATGCTTCCCGCTGCAGGCAAGTGGACGTTAACTGAACAGCTGCTGAAAATCAAACTACATTAGAGAAGCATTTCTGGCTTTGCCACAGGCATCACGAGTGAACTCTTTACTAACGTCCTGCTAATTCACGATAACACAGCGATCTAGCTAGCTATGAGACGCAAACACGAAAATAAAGTGAAATTTGGCAGCAAAATACTGTTTTAATTAGAATTAACGAAAATGATTGTTAAATTTTATGCTGGGATCGCCCCAGCTCACTAGCACGTTTACTGGGAGCCGGCTTTACCATTAACAACTTCGCTAGCTTAGCTATTAGCCGTTACCCTTCTTTTGCACGTCAGCCTCTTGTCCAAGGTCAAAGGTCCCTGCCTAGCAACAAAAAAGTAAATAAAAAAAAAATAAATCACGTAAAGTTATAAGCTTCACGATTTTACACTGCCTGCAATTGTGCGTTTTCTTTATTTTTCTTTATTTTTTTAATTTAATTTTTTGTTTTTAAGTTTTTTTTAATTTAATTTTTTATTTGACACTGAAAAGCAACAGAACAAAACCACATAAATGGGTCTGTGAGTCAAAATTACCACCTAATAAATTGAAATTTCAAGATATCTTGAAATTCCGAATTAACTTTCGAGATACTTAATTCATAACTGAAAATTTTGACTCAAGTCCCTGAGACTTGATTTAACTCTAGTAAGCTTTTATTTTATTTTTTAATTCATTATTTTCCCTGTGGCAGAAAGAAACCGATTTTTTTCTTTTTCTCCTGCAGCACAAATATGCTAAAACAGATGCGCTGGAGCAAATGATAGCTGATTATTATTGATTTTATGCCACATATTTGAATTATTGTTATTGTGAAATTGGGGGAAATCTTAAATCTTAAACTAACACTGAAACTAATACAAATCAAACTGAAAATGAACAGTTTCTACAGTTGAAAACTAAAGTGAAACTTTCAATGCGGCTCTGGAAAATGACTGAAACTAAACTAAACTGAAACCTAAATACTACTACTACTACTAATAATAATAATGAAAACAAATTGAAAACACTAAATTTTAATAGGTCCTCTTTAAACATTTGTTTATAGGCAGATATCAGCCAATATGACAAATACCAATATAAAACTAGTGCTTGCATTTCAAAGCTTGTGCAAATACACCTAATTTTGTTTTCAGTCCCTCCTTCATACAGAGAGAGATTAACCATCATGCCGTGCTCTGTTAGCAGAAATCACCAAGATAAGAAAAGTTTTTCATAACCTAAATAACTCCACCCCTCAGAACAACTGGACTAAAACATCTGTGTGGAAATTTTAACAGTTTATTACAGACATCTGTTTGCCTTATCATGAGTCATTGCTGCCTTTCACTGCTCGAGTCAGCTCTTTGATGACCGTAGGTGACTCAGCTGTATTAAGTTTATCGTTGTGAGCCTACACATTTAACACATATTTAGGATATGGTATGTGAGTCCTCTGTCCCTGCTCTTGTCCTCTGCCCCCGCTGAAAGATTTTCATGATGCAAATGAGATATGCAAATGTGCATCAGTTTATCTTTGTTAAATCTAACACAGACACCCACTCACACCACCCTAACATCAACTGACCCTGTCATGAGCTTCTCTCTCCCACACGCAGGGTTTGTATTACATTATTATTAACATTTCTGCTCAATGAGAGAGTATCAGCCTGTTAAACAGGTGGGCCTCCATAGCTGTAAATCTGGGTTTTTTTATGGCTTTTCAAAGGCAGGGTTTTTCTTTATTGATGTAAACGTGAAAGTGGGATGGCTAATGGTGTGTTATAATCTGTATTATATGTTGTTCCAATGGCAAATTACTTGTCTTCAGACACTTGAGACCTGTAGTTTTGGTCATAAAGGGCTGGAAGTGATCAGCAGCAATACTGGAGTAAGCTGGGGTGTTTAAACGATGCTCTTTCGGTACAAAGGGGCCCAAAGTGTGCCAAGAAAATATCCACCACAAAATTACACCACCACTACCAGGCTGAGCTGTTGATAAGGGGCAGGATGGATCCACGGTTTCATGTTGTTTTACGCTCACCGTTTGGGTGTTGGAGCAGAAAATAAGACTCGTCAGACCAGCAAATTTCATCCAAATTTTCTGATGTCCAGATAATTTGGGGTGAGTCTGTGCAACTTTTAGCCTCAGTTTCCTGTCTTTAGCCGACAGGAGTGTTAGTTTCCATTTAATATTATTTATAAAACAATATATAATAATCAGGTACCTTCAGGCTGAAGTTGTACTGCGGTTGTTATTCTTCATTTTTCGGTGAGACAGGCTGTTATACATACTGATGTAGATCTATTCTGTTTATGTATATGTGTGTATTTACTGAATAGAATCACCATGAGGCAGGTAAAGGCTCTGCGTGCTTTACAAATTCAACAGTTGGTTCATTACAAGGTAACAAGCAGCGCTGCAGCATGTCACATGACCTATCCTGCGCGCCCCCGCTGCCCCGCTCTGGACCAATGAGCAGCCCGGTCGATTTGGAAGGGCGTCGGGAGCGCGCGGCCGGGGTCTCGCGTACAAGTGTTGCGTGCTGCCGCTTTGCCGTCAGTTAACCGCTGCCTGGATGTCTCACGGCGGGTGAGGCTGTCCATCTCGAGCGGCAAAACAAAGAAGGAGCTCTTTTGTGGTGTTTTTTGACTTGAGCCCAGAGTGGGATGTGTAACGCCCAGGTTAGCTTCCCGCTGTCCTGGGTTTGCGGCTGTGTGAAGGACTGACAGGCGGGTTTTTTCTTCTTGTAAGGCATGTGATAAGAGAGAGGAGGCTGTGAGGCGTGTTCACGGATGTAACCGGGAGCTGGGGAGAGGGAAGACGGGGGATCTCCTCTGGTTTCATGTCGGCTGTGGATGTGACCGTTCAGCAGGGACGTGCTGCTGGATTTTTAGCTGTTGAATGGCAGATACTCACAGAAGAGGATGGTGATGAATGACTGCGGAGCTCAGTAGTTTGCAGTTATCTGAATGACTTGTGTCTCTTGTTAAAACGCGCACACACGGTGGAGCCGTTTTGATTGTTCGTGGAGTGGAGTGGGGGCTAACGCTGGTTAAACAACACAGGGTGGATCAGTTCAGGCGCGGCCACAGGCGGACCTACAATGCGGATTACCCCTTGACTGTTTGCCTTTGTGTTATTACACATTTGCCTGAAGTTGAGATAAGACTCGCAGGCCTATACGAGTATCTTTTCTTATTTTATTGCCTTAAGAAAGGAGACATCGCGTTCATCTGTGGGCCGAATCCCCACATGTGCACAAGTTGTCCGTGAATCTGCACGGACTGAAGGCAGCAACAGGGACAGCCATGGCGAACGACTCCATTCAAGTAAGTTTTATCAAGTTGGATGTCCTGAAGCCTGCAAACGTGGTCTGAATAAAGCCAAAACTGGCTCACAGATACTCATCCTTTGAAATCCAGACATTTCTGTTGACATAAGTTGTGTGAAGCCAAAATAGCTGTTTTAACTTTTTAAGTTAAGCAGTATTGTTTTTTTATAGAAAGTTTTCCCCTACAAATGTAACGAGAATAGTGGATTTAACTGACCCATGTTTTGTTAAAATTTGGCACAAATTTCCACAGGATCTTAGAGCCTAAGATGGGTTTTCCAAAGCTCAGAAACATGAGCTCATTCTGACATTCGAGTCTCCCAATCAATTGTTTGGTGAAAAATTAGTAGTTGGTGATTGCTATTATCTTAATTGATTATTGGTGGTGGCTTGGTGCTGGAGGCCATTAGTGGCCCCCGTACCACACTGTAAGAACCAACAACCTGTCAGTATAAGTGGAAATGGATAGTTTGCTTCTTGTTAATAATGTATGATGGGTCCACTGTCTGGTCCTGCAAAGAGCTTGTGCAGAGATCTCCTGCACCTTGCTTTGTTTGGCTGTTTGCTGTGACCTGGTGAAGCTTGTTTTGTCCAAAGCTTTGTTGCTTTCATAGTGTTGTGTGTGTGTATATAGGAAAGGCAGGTGCATGCAGGCACAATACTGGTGTTTGCTGTAAAACAACACTCACTATTTCCAGCTGCCTTCAGGCATCACTTGAATGTGAATGCTTTAGCAAAACAGGAAGGAGTGCTTAGTTTGCATTTACAGGGAATAGGTGTGTGCTGAGTTAAAGAGAAACATGATTTCCTGAAGTGGTGTTTAGGTAATGAGTTAATTGCTTTAAGTCATCTAGGCTGAAACTGAAGAACATGAAGGGGGCAGATAAGTTTTATGAGATTCATACAGACTGGATTTGAGAAGCTGTTGACATTTAGAGCTGTGTGTCAGCTGATGTACAAGCCTGGAGCTGCGTGCAGCTGAGAAATGGGTGTGTCCGTGTCGTCACGCAGATGACGTCAGTGTACAGGTTGTCTACTACTTTGAATTCCTATTTGTAATTTAGGAACGTTAATGCCAATTATTCACGGCTGAAAAATTGGCATTGGTTTACTCTGTAATTAGAGGTTTGGAACGTATGCAAGTGAAAATACAGAAGATGAAGAAGATAATAGAGGTGATAGCTACAGAACAGAGTCGGTTTTAAGTGGGCTGCTTGCAATAATAATGAAATATGAAATTTATAACCAGCGTGCAAGTCTACGAGTTCCTGTTGCCATAAAGTGTTGACTAAACTCAAATGTTGTTTGCCCACATTCTGTCATTTCACCCATGCTGCCACTTCCCTCCAGTACATTATAACCAAATAAGGTGTGTTGATCTGCAAACGCATTCATGGATGCAGGCACACATGAGAACTCGTGCTCTCACTGGATTTTGAGGGTTACCTGGTGACAAAGCTTGTAGTTTTCCTCCAGTAGCTAGGTTGTTGCTCATGGGGCCTGTACTATGAGGGAAGTTCAATAAACCCAAGACAGCTTTTTCTCTTAACTAGCTTCACTTACACTAACATGGATCATCAGGCTAAGCAATCACACAAAGGTGGTTATCCACATTTACAGGAGGTAAATGGGAAATGGACTGGTTCTCCTATAGCTCTTTTCTGCTTTATTACTCAAAGCACTTCACACAACAAATGTCATTCACCCATTCTTACAAGCACTTTTTACATTCTTAAGTGCTTTCTGTGTAACATTCACACTCTGATGGATGAATGGAAGAGGAACTTGAGCTTAGGATCTTGCCAGACATGGAACCACCAACCATCCAATTAATAGATGCCAAGAGCCACCTCCTCGCCTCCTTCCTTTTGACATACTAAAGTATTTCCAAGTGAGCTGAAAGACATGCTCTCTCCATTGTGTCCTTACTGAGTCTGCCCACAGTAGGAGAAGCCTGAGACACATCATCTAAGAAACATTCATGTAGCTATTCTGATTAAATCC